AGTCAGGAAGTATTTGGGTGTATTCTGGTACTGGTGAGTGTGTTCCAGCGTCCAAACCCCCCGCTGCAGCGTCTCAGCGGCGAGCAGCTGAGCTGCTCAGACGTGCTGTTTGTGCATGTGTGTGTTTGTGATTCTGTTTTTGTGTGCACGCAGTCGGAGCGTAAGCGTTTCCAGATGTGATGGATGGCAACAGGCAGAGAATGAGACAGCGTTTAGCTGGAACATAAGGCTGTGATAGCGCTGACTCACAGACTCACGGTCGTGTTAACGTACTTGCTGTAGATGACGTTCGTTCCCACACATTTTTAATTAACCACAACACTCCGATGTAAACCTGGAGGGTTAGGGACTGATCTGTAAAGGAGGACAGCTCCTGTGCATGTCAGCCTCAGTCGACTCTGAACCTGATTACATTATTAATCCTGTTCCAAACATAAGTTCATGCAAACTCTGCTCTGACTTTGTTAACCAAACTATTTATACAAAACCTAAGTTCAAATCCTAACAGAACTCCGGAAATTAGAGGGAATTCTTCAGCGTGTAATTTTCTTCAACCCTTTTCTCCTTTTTTGGGAAAACTCAGAACACACACACACACACACACACACACTGCCAACACATCATGACGCTGAGACTGTTAGCGTTACACTTCACATTCATGCCGTCCTGCATGGCCAGTTATCTATATTTAAATGCTTCTGTCGCCCTAACTGCTATTCTAGGGGCAGTAAACACATCATGGACCATGTTTCCCTTTTTCATACTTACGTGGTTTCTTTTCACACTTACACACACACACACACACACACACTTTGCTGCTTTAGCCAGACAACCAGGGTGTACAGCCTCCCTCATCACAAGTATTAGAGTCCAAGCCTTGAGGACAGCTAGCTATGCCTGGAATGTCAGTTCACCTCAATGAGAGTCACACACACACACACGAATGCACACCTGCTACACACTTGAAAGAACACACTAGTGCTTGCACGCACCGCTGCACAGCTACAGCCACACACACACACACACACACACACCCTTTGTGCATGTGTGTCTGTGGTAGAATAGCGTTGCATATGAGACATTCCTGCACTGTAGTACTGTTTTCCTGAGGCAGTAACAGGATATCCTCCCCCTCTGTACTGTCCGGCCTGCTGCACACACACTTCTACACGCTCACACACACACAGACACACACACACATACATGTCTAGTATATGCAGTGGGTCACATCAGTAGACAGAAGACTTCATGTGGGTGAAAATAGATGCGACACCTGGTCCTCACATGCTCACTAACGTAGTTAAGTAAACACATGGACTTGTTGAAGGGCAGAGTGTGAGAAGAAGCAAAGAAACCAGAGGTGGAGGCAACAGGAGGAAAGAATACATTCTGTTATGTGGCTCAATCAATAGTGTGGTTTAAGAAAGAATTCCCTTAAATTAAAACCTGATGCCTGTGGTTAATATTAATAACATGACTGTCTAGATGAGAGATGCTGCTGGTTGATGTGGTGTTTTATCAGCTCCTCTAATGGCTCTATGGAGGCTGATGGTGGTCAGTCTGTCGGTCCACCGCTTTGGTCTCAGTATCTCATCCGGGGCTGCTGTCTGTAGGTGGACCGGTCGATATCCTCTCCCCCAACCAAACTCTCATCTGTCTGACAGTCGCTGGTGTTAATTTGGTAAGGAGGAGAGCACCAAACTAAAAGCCTTCCAAGATTAATCCAGTATTTTTAGCAGCAGGAGGAACAGACTGTGAGCACCCGTGTGTCTTAATAACTTTAAACAACCAAACAGAGATTACTCTATTACTGGTTAACTCCACTACCATGTACCTGGAGTCAGAACCAAACTAAGTGACACCAGAATGTCCTCAGTGTGAGTGTAACCGTTGCAGCTTTCATATCACAAATCAACAACCAGCACAGCAGATCACCTAAAACCAGTAGGTTATTTGTTCTTGTGCTGCAGTCACCAGCTGATGTCTGTTTTCAGAGATTATAGAAACACGGTCTGCTTCAAATCTGTTCTGTCAGTGTGAAGCTACGAGGTGGAAGTGATTCAATCTGCTGCAAATACTAACTTTTTATTTATAGTTCATTTAGGCGAGCAAGGCACGCAGGGATAATGACCAGTTTAGCTCGTCTAGTGATTATATGCAGAATTCTTTTTTTATCCCCATGACCAATCAGTTAATTGAAGAACAGGGAAGATTTCAGTCATTTAAATATTTCTTTGGTTGCCCTGATCTCAGCAGCTATTAGATAGGTTACTATACAGACTTGACTTGGGTCCTCTCCTGCTCTTCCTTCTTCCTCTGGCACCACCATGAGATCAACATTTGTGTGTTTTTGAGGGAAATTTCTCAACAACTTTTGGATGGATCTATAAAAACAAATGTACAGATTTCTTCAGAGGTTGAATCGTAACAGTTTTAAATAACGGTTTGTGATGAAATACCTGCAAAAACAATGCACTCGCTCTGGATTGAGGTTTGTGTTTTTCATGTGTTAGCGCGCAAGGCTGAGCTGTTGATCATCGTTAACGTTAACGCTGCTTAGCATTAGCATTGCTGTGACTACGGTAGCATTTAGCGCTAAACACAGAATGACAGAATCGAAAGCATAGCTGGAGGTTCTTGACTGGTCTTATCAGCTGATGTTGTTGTTGTTTGTTGGTATAGTTTATTTATTTATCTTTTTATATTTGCATCTCTTATTCTTTATAGTTGTTGTTATTTAGCTTTCAGTGCAATACTTTCTTATGATAGAAGAACAAACAGAGAAACTTGGAAGAACTAATTTATATTCGATTTAAAACTGTTTTTCAAATTGGAATGGATGTGTACATCAGTAGGTTTGAAATGCTCCTTTAAGACACTGTGCTTACTCAGATAAATATTTACAACAAAGATCACATTTTGCCTCACAAGACAGTCAAGTCATCAAGTCATAAATTTGCATGTGACCAGGCCCGATGGGTCAGAAAGTATTTCAGGAGGAGGAAGCACTAACGAAGAGACGAGCAAGGAGGAGAGGGGAGTGTGAAGGAAATTATTGCTTCATTATGAAAGAGAAAAGCTTTCTGTTGTAATCCTCCATGTGACTTCACCCGCCACTGTTTCTGAAAAAGTCCCAGAGAGGAGAGAGGAAGCAAGAGAGGAAGGAAAAGACGCAAACACGCAGCGAGGAAGAAGAAGAAGAAGAGGGAATTCTGGGAAAGAGGGGAGGACGATGAAGTAATCGAAAGGGAGGGAAAAGAGGGAGGAGCGCATCAGGAGGAGGAAGTGATAATAACTCCAGATGATTCTACAGAATCCCCTCATGTAGATAGTTAGAAGATGAAGGTCTGGTAGCTTTAGTGTAGGAGCGAGCCAAAGACAAAAGGCTTCCTCCTCACGGCTGTGTGAGCCTCAGCTGAACACTGGACCGTTTCACTGAAGTGGTCCTCATTAAACCTCCACACGCACTCGCTCGTGTTACGAACACGAAGGTCAACAGCTCCTCGTTGAAGTAAATGCATCCTTAAGACAGAGGTGTGATGTGTACAAGGCAGTAAATAAGGAAGCCGTTTGTTAGCGCTTCATACGCAGACAAAGAGAAAGGTCAATAAAGACAGGAGCGTGTAAATGAGGCTGCACACTAAAAGGAGGTCTGGAATGTGTGGGATGGATGATTCTCTAACCCAGAAGGTCACAGGTCCTGCATGCCAATGACTGCACATGTCCTCCCCGATAGATCACCTTGTCACACGGTGAAGTGATAGCCACAATGATATGAAGGTTAAAGGATGCTATAAAGAGTTTGCGTCACAAAGTGTAGTCCGCAAATAGCCTGATGATGAAGGTAGCATCACAGTGTTTCATAAACTGGTGATTATCCTTCATAGAAGTGCAGCATGCTTTTCAGTGATGACATAATAACGGTATTGTGTTAACTGCTATTCATCAGTGTTGTGATTATATCACTGGACAGAAGTGTCTCACATTTATGAGCTGAGGTCACCTCTGTTTGTTTGTGATATATTCAGTGTGTTACAGATCTGATTCCATTTAAAACATTGTCCAGCAGCTACAGATGCACCTGCATCCAGTCCTGTCACCAGCTGAGTAGCAACGTTCAGGGTTGGAAGACAAATTCCTTCCTGTCCTGACAGCTAATGATGATGTGTTAATGAGGTGCTTAATTCACAGCACTTATGTGAATCTGTTCCACTGAAAGGTGTTGGAGAATCTTTCAAGCTGTAGGTCTTATAGTGAGTTTTGTGCAGAAGGTACATTAATGTGCCAGATGATGCCAGGTGGGACCATCAAGCTCAATTCTTCAACCAAGAAAAGTCACGTACTGTAAAATAACATTTTGCCACTCGGCTGCAAACGCTAAAACTGTCTCCCTACTTCCTGCTCTTCTTTCAGAATGTCTCTCCATGAAATATAAAAGCTTTATTCTTCTCACAGTGGGGAAATGTGAGGCTTTAAATGTACAAAATATTCACAACAGGTTTGAATGCATTGATGTTGTACCAGAGTGAGAGATGAGTTTTTTACTGTGTGGTCTCCTGGAAGCAGCGCTGGTTGTAGAGTCCAGTTTACTGCCGTTATTGTTGGTATTACTCAGACACCAGGGGTTCAGCATACAGATTTTCAGAGCTGTGAAGGTCTCTGGAGAAAGACAGAATAGCTTTGAGTAGTGGGGAGGTTTGTTGTAGTTGTGGTTCACAATAAAACAGCAACGTGGAATTTGGCTCCCCCCAGTGGTGGGAACCAGTCACAGCACTCTGCTGCAGATTGTGCACATGCTGGACTACTGCAATGCAGACAGACAGGTTCATATGTGACGTGTGTGTGTTTTCTTAAAGAGGTTAAGAGGAGTCATGAGTGAATTAAGTGATAAAGGCCTTTCAGTTCTCCCTCTGAGCCTACATTCTGGTTAATACATTGGTCACTAGACAGCTGCTCCCTGCACATCCTCTGAAACATATGCTGCTTGTTTGTTGACACAGAAATCATGGCGGGCAGCCGAGGATGTCAGTGACACAGTACCAAGAGAGCGAGCCCTGAAGAGCGTCAGTTTCCAGGAATCAGTCAGCGTCATCACTGACAGGCCCGCGGCCATGGAACTGGAGAGCCAGCAGATCCAACATGGCTGCCTCAGCAGCCCCAGTAACCGAGCCCACAATGCAGTTGGTGTGAGAGTGGAGTCTTCTGACAGCGAGGTGGTGCAGGTATGAAAGTCCTCTGAACAACACTCACAGTACATTTTCTGTGCCTGTTTTACTACCTGGAACTGAGCAGGTACCAACAACACAAGCTTTGACAGGTGATATTTTTATTTTGATCAGGTGTAGCTGATGTTGCTGTGGATGGTTTTAATTTGTGTTGATTTCTTAGGTCACATTTCTTTATATCTGCAGCATTAATTTTCTGTTCCATTCAACAATCTGATCACAAAACAAACAGAAGTGTCCATCCTCCAGCTGTCCAGCTGCATGCACGTAGCTATTCGCTGTTAAATTCATTTAATTGTTGTCATTGACTGTGATAAATGATCGTTAATATTATGATTCATATCTGAAGACATTACAACAATTTCCTCGTCTACTGCATCCACAGGAGATCCGCTACCTGGACCAGGTGTTGGACGCAGCCTCAGACACACCCACCAACGGAAACTCCTCTCCGTCAGAATACATCAAACCGATCAGCATCGACGGAAACTCTCCCTCCGTCTGCGTGTCGGCCTCCTCCCCCGCCAACCACCAGTCGATCGTCGTCCAGGGACAGAGACAAACCACGTTCCTCCACCAGGAGGAGGCTGCAGCGAGGACCAACGGCCACGTGCAGGGAGACGAGTCGGGGCGCAGCAAGGCCAAGTTTGAGCTGCGAGCGTTTCAGGAAGAAAAACGTCCAGCGAAACTGTTCTCGCCCGGAGAGGAGCAGCAGGTCCGGGTGACGAGGAGACGACCCACCGAGGAGGTACGAGGCTCTTAGATCACGGGTCAGATGGAACAGATACACGAACGCAAAACACCGCGGCTTGTTGTTTTGTTTTGTTTTAGCTCTGCGGACGGCCCTGGAGTGCAGATACAATACTAGTCCTACCAAATAAACATAACACATAACTACATTTATTTAGGTTAGGTGTACTTTTCATAAATCAGTTTCTATAAGTCAGACAGTGCCTTTGACTGTTTGTTAAGGTCTAAACTGTATGAAACACATTCTGACAAAGTGAATTATAGTACTGATGTCTGAAACGTGTGCTCATTTTTATTCACACAGTTTAACTCCAAAAACAATTCCGGCCAAAAAACCAGATAGATTTCTGTTTTCCTCACAGCTGAAAACAAAGTCCAGCCTCTTGTTGTGCCTCAGTTTCTATGACTCTCCCTCTTTGCCTTCTTTGCCTCCTGAGACGAGGCTCTTTTTCTTTGTCCAGGTAAAGTTTCAGCAGTTCATGCAGTTGTTCTTTTAAATGTGAATCGGACCTTAATTTTCCCTGGAGAGTTTAAACCCGGCGGTGGAGTTGCATAGTGAAAGTGAGGCTCAGGGGGAACAGTCTGGATGCTGATGGTGCTGTTTTTCTTTTTGCGTTGTGCAATCATTTCATAACACTCGTCTATTGCGACTTTAATCTACAGACGTATACGAGTTATGACCAAAACCACTGTCTGTGATGCCATTACAACATAACAAAGATGAAATAAAAGGGGTTTTGAAATTGAAAGTGTGTGGTAACCGTGAGTCACGCGTGAAGCACATGATGGGACAGCGATGCCCAAAAGGTCACATTTAATCAGAGATAAGGGACGTTTGTGGTTCTGAAATATAACATTTATTCTTAATCACTGTGTTCTTGATCGTACTTTAGAGTACACATCGTGCTAAAGAGCAGTACCGCTGGTGGTGAGAGCATGGAAAGCTGTTGTTAGTTACTTCCTCAGTTTTATGGATCCATGTCACCCATCAGCAGGCCTCAGACTGGACCTGGCAAAGTGACTTCAGACTCTAAATATGCAGAGAACTGTTTTCCTGTTTGTAAATCAACACATCATGGGAAGACAATGCTAATAAAAGTTTATTGGGAATGCTGTTTGTGCATTCTCTTCTCCTCCTGGTTTGTTTGTTCTGTCAGGTTCAGGAGTTGGAGCGTGAGCGTCAGGAGCTGATCAAAGACCAGGCGGTGAAGAAGAACCCCGGGATCGCACAGCGCTGGTGGAACCCTCCCCAGGAGGTAGGCTCTGATTCAGACTCTGTTTTCTATTCAAGCTCTCTTGCCTTCCTGACAAATTCACTGATTGCTTATTTGTTTGGTTCATTAATTCAAGGTGCCTTTGGAGGAGCAGCTGGATGCAGAGCAGCTCGAGTCTCTCAAGAAATACCAGGAGAGAAAACAGCAGAAACAGAGCTATTCCTATGCATGCACACAGGTAACAGACAAACACAGCACCTGATTACATCCTGTGAATGAAGGAAGGTGTGCCAGAAGTGGATGATCTATCAATCTATCACTGTTGGATTTGTTGAGCTCTAATTTGTCCTTTGACTTCGCTCCTTTCTTTTCTTCTAACGTCCTTCTTTGTATTCTGTCCTCTAATCTGTCTTGCAGCCCCAGATGTCAGGTCCTCCTGCCATGATGACCTTTGACTCAGAGCTAAACAGGAAGGACGACATTGTGGAGGAGCAAATCGACTTCTCGTCTGCCAGGAAGCAGTTTCTGCAAGGAGGGTCTACCAGGAAGGACGTAGCTCCTCACCTGTACTCCGCCAAACCCTTCTCCAAACCCGCAACCAGGGGCGGCCAGGTGAGCAGTGACATTGTTGCAGAAACCGGAGAGACTCACGTGACCTGGTCTGACGAAGGCATCGCAGGAGAGTTTACATGTGCACGTGCTGTAATGACAATCCTGCCCGGGGAGGAGGAGGCAAAGGGTCACTTCCATCCAGCCTTTCACCCAGAAGAGTCTGACTCAGGATTGGACGAGCTCTCTGTCCGCTCTCAGGACACGACTGTGTTTAGCTTGGATAACATCTCAGACAGTGGGGCTTCGCTACCCCCCACCCCGCTGCCACTCACCCCAGTGTCACCGCCTACCCCCCAGCCCACCACTCCAGTCAACGGGCGGACCAGCGGCAGTCCAACAGAAGATGAGCTGGAGTACCACGCCGGGGTTCTTGTCCAGAATGCCATCCAGAATGCTCTAGCAGCTCAGAATGGAGGCGACTGGCAGCCGTCTGACTTCAACTCCTCACAGCTGAGCGCCCCTGTGTCTCCATCCTCTGCCTCTACAAGTAGCCCAGTGCCAGTTTCTTCCTCTCCTGTGTCTTCTGGTGGAGCTCCAAGCTTCCAGTCCCCTGTGTCCTCCAGTCCTGCACCATCCAACCCGTCCCCACAGCCAGACAGGCAGCCAGCGGTCACAGTTTTTTCCCAAGAGAAGCCGGAATCAGAATCACAGGCTCAGCAGCAGTCCTCCAGTCCAGTCCAACCACCACATCTCCAGACGCCGTCTCCTCCTCCATCTCAGCCTATCTCGCCACCGCAGAGACCCAAAAACGGAGGCCCCAGAATCAAGATCCAGTCCTCTTACACCAGAGCTCTCGCCTCTTCAGCCCCGGCTCCGGCTCCAGCTCCTGCCTCAGCAGCTCCCGTCTCCAGGCCAACCCCAGTCTACCGTCCCCCTTCTCCTCCAAGCCCAGAGAAACCAGAATTCAGCTACTTCAGCAAATACTCGGAGGCAGCGGAGCTGCGTAGCACAGCGGCAGCAGCCCGAGGCCCTGAGGTGGAGGCGGCCAGCGGCCCGTTCCGCCTGCGCTCCAAGAAGCAGGGAACCTTGTCCATGATTGAGGAGGAGATCCGAGCAGCTCAGCAGAGGGAGGAAGAGCTGAAGAAGCAGAGGGAGACGCTGCCGGTCATCGCTGTCCGGTCCGGCAACGCCTCCAACAGTAGTCATGGACCTGTGAGGACAGGGATGCGGCAAAGCACCATTTCCCCGGCAGATAAGATGAAGAGCAACAGCCTGCCGACCCGACTGACGCTGACAGCACGGACAGCACCAGGTTAGTGACCACTGAGCGACTGGCTGGTCCTCTGATACAAACACCTGTGTACGCTCCTGTTGGCCTCAGATGTTCTTCAGCTAATGAGCGTGCTAACATGTAAACTAAGCCCCACTGATTAACTACATGAACATCTTATTGTATTTGACATGTTGAAGTTCAGGTTTCATCTCCTGTAAGGTCATCAAAGTGCCAGGATTTAAATCATATCTAATCGTCTCTGTAACTGCAAAGCATGAAGAATTTATCTTTACATTTAATGTTCATCAGGGGCAGCTACAGCGCTTTATTTCTATTTTTTTCTCTTAATATTGGCAGTATGAGTAGTTTTTCCTCATAAAAACTGCAGCTTGTTAAGCTGTTTTTATGACTTTTTACCAGAATCCAGTGGAGACGTGATGCTGCCGTGTATGTCAGCCGTGACACAGATTAGTTTTAAAAGCGAGATAGTCAAATAATAGACTGACCTCGTTGTGGATGCCTTCATTTGTCACAAGAGAACAAGTGTCGGTTTTCTGCATCTTATTCTTATTTAATAACCGGCCGAGGCTTCCGTCCGTTGAACAGTGATCATGAATGCAAACTAGCAGGACACAGGAAGTTAAACATTGCTTTAGAAAGCCACTAATGTTGTTGTTTCTGTGGTTTGCAGGAAAGATTGAGAAAGTTCGCCCAGCGCCGCCCGTCTCCCCCTCACCATCAGAGGGCGCCCTGTCCGACGCCGGCAGCGAGGACTCTGGAGGTTCACGACCCAAAAACTTCATGCAGACGCTTATGGAAGACTATGAAACTCACAAAGTGAAGAGGAGGGAGAAGCTGGAGGACAACAGTGTAAGTACTTCAGCATAGAGAAGATAAAGGAGGAGATTTTATTATTATTTTAAGGGTGTCAACAGTTTGTATTACTTCTCATTGTTGCTGTCATTTAAACACTCCTCCCATTTTTTCGTTAGCTTTACTAGACATGTAAATGTTTTCAGAAGCGATCTCAGTAAGTGAAAGTATCCCAGAGTTAACTGCAGTTTATCACACACTACATGCTTCTCCTGCTCTTGTGGTCAACTGGAATGTGGTCATGTTGGTGTGGCTGAATTCCTCCGTCCACGATGTGTCGGTATGAGCTAATACTGTACAGCACCAGACGGGAAATTCCCCGTCCGAGCCAAAAAACAAACTGAAACTAAGTCAGAGGCATCGGGGAGTTTTGTTCTGATGTCATCCTGTGAATCTGAATACGTCTTTTAATGCCACACTTCTCCTTATTCAGATTTCTATTGAAAGACTTTATTCAGCTTTGACGGATTGAATTATTGAAATACAAGAAAATAACCGTCACAGATTGTCACCAGAAAACAACAGCTCCACTTTCACTTTTAATTCATATAAATAAGTTTCATACACACGACTGAACATTCACACAGAACAGACGACACACGTCAAGGCAACATTAGATCACAACCACTAACAGATTATAAACATAAAAAACAAAAATCACCCATATTTCCAGATATGTACCAGGGTTTATCTTGAACACATCATCCTGCAGTGGAGGTTTTGTTAGCCGCTGATGTTGTTGCTGACTTTGTCGTTGTTTACCCATGATGACATCACATGTGCTGACTTGGTGTACTGTTGCTTCTCTCCTATTGGTCGGTCAGTACGCCCGCTTGTTACTGGCTAACGAGGTAACCACTGAGGTAGCTGCTGCACCCTGAACCTGTTCACTCCGTGTACTGCCTGTGCTGACAGACCTGGGTCAGATTGTACAGAGAACTGTTAGAAAAAGTGGATTATTACGGACGCACGCTGCCAGTATTAAGCTTCCTTTTTATAGAGTACTGTGCAAAAGTATTAGGCACTAAAGATAAAGTGAGAAGGATGTTAAACATGATGCCAAGAATAGTTTCTCAATTAACTTCCTGCAAAGTGTACGAAGCAGAAATCTGTTGAACAATGTGTTGTTAGGAGCCTTTTCTTGGCCTTTAAAACAGCGACACTTGCACACAGCTGTACATTGTGACCTTTGGGGACGTCATCATGCTGCAGAGGGAATTTCTAACCAATAAGATGCCTCCTCTGTTTAAAGTGTGCGATGGATAAGAATCTAAACATCCTAAAACCTTTGCACAGCACAGTATGCGAGTATCACATCGAACAGAAGGAACCGATTACTCTGATCAGAAAGATTACAGCGCTGGTTGGTTCCAGACACAGTCCACATGTTCACGGGTGTTTTTTAAAACAGGATTTCTACTATTTTGTTCAGAGCTGCCTGAACTCTGAAGCCATGTTGGTCAATAGAAGAATGAAAAAAGCTACTACTGGTCACCAACAATGGAGGCTGAAGGAAAGAGGGTGATATAGTGGAAGAGTAAGTTTACCTTTTACCGTTAGCACCAGCACTATTCAGACACATCCACCTCTGCACAACATCACAAAAGGAGACACTAACACTAAATAACTGTTGTACATGTAAACACTGCAAACACAGCTTCCATCCATCCATCATCTCTACACCTTAATCCTCACTAGGGTCATGGGGGGCGGAGCCTATCCCAGCTGACTCAGGGTGAAGGCAGGTTCACCTGGACAGGTAACCAGTCTATCACAGGGCTACACTTAGAGACAGACAACCAAGCACACTCATATTCACACCTACGGACAATTTACAATCACCAATTAACCTCAACATGTTTGTGGACTGTGGGAGGAAGCCGAAGAACCCGGAGAGAACCCACGCTGCACGGGGAGAACATGGAGACTCCACGCAGGAAGATCCCGGGTGTCCTCACCGGGACGCCAACCGGCGACCTTCTAGCTGTGAGGCGCTAACGATGCTAACCACTGAGACGCCTCCAGCCTGAAAGGAGTTTTCCAAAAGCTTTATTTTCAGTGACCTAAAACTGCAGCCAAAGAGTATGAACTGTGTTTTAAATAACACTCGTGGGCATCATGTGGACAGAACGCAACGACAGCTGAGTCAGAAAAGGAAGATTTCTGTTTTCTTAATGTCCATTAAATGTACAACACATAGATGAATGTCAGTCATCCAGACATTAATCGGGATGTTTTCGTGTAAATAAACCCTAAACTGGGTCTTTATTTATTTTTGTGAAGGATAACTACAAACGTTCTATATCTGATCCCAGGTCTGCTTGTGGCCTCACTGCCTTGTTCTGTTCTGTGGTGTTGCTGCTGCATGTGCTTGTCCGTGGATTTGGTGTGACCTGTGACCCACTCATGCACACCTGCGTTCTGTATGATGCTGTGTCAAACACAAAGAGCAGTTTCTACACTCAGTAGATGTACAATTATAGAGTAATTAACCTGTGGTAAGGATGTTTTTAACCAAACAGATACATGGAACTATCTAATGTTCACATTTCTTCATTAAAGGACGTATTAAAGTGTTATAAGATGTGGTATTTGACTAGAAAATCTGCTTTTCAGGTGTATGTGCTATCACGCAGGTAGCTAGATAGCTTCTACTTCCAACCATATAACTGAGCTCAGCTTTGAGAAAATCATTTATTAGCTCTCATTTTCTATCATGATCATTACTGCGATCAGGTCTAGAAGACGGCTCATCCTCACTCCCTGCTTCAGCTCCCTGGTTTTCTGACCACACAGGAGTCAAAGATGTGTTTGTGTGTTTGTAGGTGTGTGATTGTGTATCTGGGCATGTGAGAGAAACAGCGATAGGAGTTGTTGAATATGATGCTGCAGCATGAAACCTTCCCTGAAATGGAGTAACGTGTTGTTCTGGTCAAACACTGCTGGTGCGCCTCATCCTGGTGGTCTATGGACCGGTACACGTTAACGCCTGTAGACGCTCCTCCAGTGTTTGACGTCCACTGCATGCCGTTACTGAAGCCACCGTGTTTGTTGTGACTGTGTTCCTCTAAACCTCGATAGAAGCATGTTTCATAGCCGCTACGCTGTCATCTGACCGGCTGCTCTGTGCTCGTCAGGTTCTGGAGGCCACTCGCGTAACCAGGAGGAAAAGCGACATGGCGCTGAAGTGGGAAGCCGGTATCTACGCCAACGAGGACGGAGAGGAGGAGGAAGAAGAGGAAGAAGAGGAGGAGGAAGAGGAGGAGGAGGAGGAGTAAGCAGCCCTCCTTACAGAGACAGTTAAGCATGAGGAGGAGGAGGAGGAGGAGGAAGAGACTGAAGGAGAAATGGAAACAGGAGGAGGAAGGACAGAAGGAAAACAGTATTTATTTCACTAATAGTATCCTGATGCTCACACGAGCCGCTGGCTTGAACCAACGGGGCTCATCGAAGAGACGCATCCGGCTTTGGGACCTGAAGGTGTAACAGTACGTTCATACATGAGAGAGATACCTGAAGTGTGGAGGTGAGTTCAGAGACGAGGGAAGCGAGAGACACTTTGGAAGAGTTTGACGGTGGTTTGAGAGCGAAGTTTGTTTGGGATAAAATGTTTTAAGTAGCTGGTAGACGCTGAATGAAGTATTCATAGGACTCTTCACCTATCTGCAGTTTTATTCCTGACGTCTGGGCTGCCTGGGACTGGGTGGTGGTGGGTGGTGGGTGTGTGCTGGTAGGTCATCCTCAGAATGTGTGAGGAAGCTTTGAACTACCAACAAGATGCAAAAGGCAAGCAGGTGCAAAACGTGGCATAAAGAAGACTTCAGACTGACAGAAAGGAGACGGAGAGCGGCCAAAACACACACTAACACACACCGGTTCTGTTCTGTTGTTTCCTGGATGTGATGATGCTGCAGAAACGATTTCCAGGAGCTGAACCGAAACGCTTCCCCCCCAGCCGGAGCAGCGTTTACCCCGGTGCAGTGCAGATATAACAGAGCATGTCGGTGGAAGCTTTTGCATTCCTTTCAAGCATCCGTATTAAATCTTAAGTGCCGACTCGAGGGTCAGCATCCTTTGAATCGAGGAAATTTGCAGAACTAACTTTGCCTTCGACCGTCAGTAGTTGTTGTACGATGTATTCTATCCTCTCCTATCCTGTATCACTGCAGTTTCAGTAGACCTTAGAGAACATAAGCAGCCGCACAGTTTGTCTATAATCACTGCTCTCCAGCGACTTGTTTTCGTCCGCTACCGTGCAAACAGAGAGAGGAACTAACTGCTGGTCACGTTTGCGCCGTTCCAGCCAGCGTGTGAGTTAATTAAAGGGCTGGGTCAGGGCTTTTATATCCCACACATCACCTCCGTCTGCGCCGTGGCTTTGTTGCTTTCTGATGTAAGCAGTCGTTCCATGTATTATACCGAGGTAGGGCTGTGTATTTGATGTATGAAGATCTGCCGTGTAGCTACTATACTTTGCTAGCTGAGGATAAAGTTTGATGAAAAATAGTAAAGAAAAAAAAATGTAAAAAAAAGCTTTTTATAAAAACGTTGTTATACCAAAACAGGATGTTGTTATTTAGGGAGAAGCTCTTCAGTCTATTTAAGAAGATGGTGTGCATGGATTTACACTCCTTTTCTAGCCTGAGACAAGCACACAGCGAGCAGCCAGAGGAAGGAGGCTGACCGTCAGAGGATGCTGTTCATCCTCTGGTGGTGACTTACAGGCTCAGCAGTCGATGTTTTTTACTAAATGTTTTGTGAGTTTTCATTTTTGCAAGATGATGTGATTGTTTTTTTTTTTCCTGAAATGATGCCGTGGCCTGTTCGGGTGCAGAAAACGAGATTAAGCTTCACGACTAAAACAGAAAACACGCTGAAGCACAGTCACAAGTAGAAACGTGTCAAAGCGGCTGAAGCAGCAGCAGCTCTGAACCACTTCAGACGTAGCAGAACGATTGTCTTCATGAGCTCCTTTATCCAAGCCTGTGAGATTCTTCTTTTTTTGTATTGGGATGTTAGGAGGAAAGAAATTCCTGTAAACCAAAGGTCAGAGTTTGGATCAGAACGTCTGCTCGTGTGTCCTGTCCAAGTGTCCTTCAGCAAAGGCACTCGTCCCTTCGTCTGCTCCCAACAGTCCAACCCTCAGCTCAACGCCTGATACACTAATGAGGTCAATTTGCACAACATATAACGAACAGCAGGACACACGAGAACCCTTCACGGTACCGGCTCTGCTCTGTTTGTCCGGGACAGGTTACGGTACCAGTACCGGCCTCGACCACAAGTGAGAACCAAGGACTCGTGCCTCCGTCGTGTTTCTGTTCCCCGACACTAAAAACCCACACGTTGGTTCCAGAGAATCCTCCTTGTTCTTGTTTTTTATACACATTTAGTAATATATATAAATTAAAAAACAAAAAGTATTTAACAGACTGACGTCCCATTTTAGGAGACTGGATTGTTTTTGTGTTTGATTCGAGGTACAGTGTCGCTGATGTGAGATTAATTAAAGAGTGAACGGACGAATCGGTCGGCTTCACAAACAGGAACAAGAAGGAGGTTCACTTCTGGACGGTAGGATTGTATTAAAGCACTTGTTGTCCTGTCAGGATGACGCCGCTGGCCTTGTTCTGACACACAGATGGTGGTAGTTGTACTGTGGCTTATTGTGGATGCCTGCTGAGCATCCGTGAACCTTATCCATCACACCTGAAGGCTTCGTCACTCATTTTTCTGCTCCAGAGGGGACAAAAAGCGAAGCCCCCAAACCATTCAGAGTTCTCCTGAAACACACCCTTTTCTGAAACAACAGTCATGCAGAGGAGTTGTTGAATTGTGTGATTTATTATAATTATTATGCTTTTGATGTTTGAATTCATGGTGCAGAGATGATTTTATTTATCATTTTAAATGCTGGTAGCTTGTTTTTGTGGCGCCCGAGCCTTCTGATAAACAGTATAACCTCTGTTCCTATGTTAACCACTTGTATGCTCATACTCTGTTATTTTATAGCACATGTACGGCTCACAGTTATACACCTACTATACATATTATGAATATTTTCTCATTAAAAACAAAACCTGTACATGTGGGGGGTTTCTGAGTGCTTCATTTTTAAAGCTATCAAAACACAACTGGTGGTTTGTGTTTGTGTCCATAAGGTTTTCATTTCAGAGCAGCTTAGTGTAAAAGATTCACCTTCATCTGACAGGCAGCAGAAACTCGCAACATCCATCCATCATCTCTACACCTTCATCCTCACCAGGGTCATGGGGGGCGGAGCCTATCCCAGCTGACTCAGGGTGAAGGCAGGTTCACCTGGACAGGTAACCAGTCTATCACAGGGCTACACTTAGAGACAGACAACCAAGCACACTCACATTCACACCTACGGACAATTTACAATCACCAATTAACCTCAGCATGTTTCTGGACTGTGGGAGGAAGCCAGAGAACCCGGAGAGAACCCACGCTGCACGGGGAGAACATGGAGACTCCACACAGAAAGATCCTCACCGGCGACCTTCTAGCTGTGAGGCAACGGTGCTAACCACTGATCCACCTGCAGCACCTCAATCAAGATGCAAAAATAAATGAAGATCAAACACTGAACTGTAATCAGCTCCACAGTTTGTCAGCACAGTTACTTTTTCTCTCTTAAACCATCTCTAGCAACATATTTCCTCAAAAATCAGACAATAAAATAAATATAGTCGCTCTCGTTAGGTGAACCAAAACTTGTTGCAGCTTCTCTAATATCAGGAACACCTGTTGAATATTTCATGTCATGGTAAAATCTGTTTGTTTTTTTTTTATCTTGTTTGTTTGTTGATTTTTATGCTTAAAGACATCAAGAGCAAGATGAGCAGTTAATACTGCAGCTGAACTTTTTTTGTGTGAAGTGAGTTTCTTAAAAAGTGCAAAATAAAACATGTATTATTATTATTATTATTGTTGTTATTTCCACCATGAAACTGCAGCGTATCAACGACAGTGAATGACTTTAATATTACAACTTGCAGAGGAGTTTCACTGTGTTTGAGGAGGAGGTGAGCTGGTGTGCTCCAGCTGCAGCGATCAAGGCCAGATGTGTGGAGAAAGCAGTGGTGTGGAGTCACATGTCAGCTGTCTGAAGGCAGGACGGGATTGTTGTCATTAAAAACAAACGTAAATACGTAGCTTTAATACACAAAGATGAGCTTTTAGGTGTTAAACCAGGAATCCTTCACCTCAGTGGATCATCTTCCTGCTCAGAGCTCCATCTGTTATAACTCTGGAGACACTGCTGTGGTTTCCATTTAGGCCTCGTTATCGTTTAGATTGTGTCTGATACGTTACAGGAGGATGGTTAGACTTAGACACCTGTTAACTTTATTTACAGCTCAGTACAGGTGTTGTCTTATACTGCTGGTATTAACTGTCAGAACTGAAACCAGGCTTCAGTAAGAATCACACTTCTGTCTGCTGAGCTACAGACAGCAGCAGTCAGACTTTTCTCATTTTACAGACAAAATACAAATAATTTAATTTAAAGTATAACAGAAATGAAGCTGAACACCAGCTCAGGTGGATCAGCTGACCTGTGTGGGGCTCATGGCTTTAAACTGAACCCAGAAAGTCAACAAGTGTTCACTGTTCACACATATAAATAATAAAGATGTGGTTTGGGCTGATTTCTAACCGCAGCAGTTCTACTTTCTGTTTCACATCCCAGCTCAGAGGTTTTATTCGTGTTAAAGTAATGAGGAGGTGGTTTGTTTAGGATTTAAATAAATAAAAGTGAAGCCTGATGATGGTGTAAATGTGAAAGTCCCGCTCTGAGCCCACGCCTCGCTGTGGCAGTGGGAGGAGGAGGAAGTGGGAGTGGCAGCTCGGCCTGCTTTAACCCGGGCTCAGTTATTTACACCGATACCGAGCAGGTCCAGACCCACCTGCAGCTCCTCACCTCCCTCCGGTCCAGTCTCACTCTGACGGGACGTCTCCTCATGGCGCTGCCGACCCTCCTCCACTCCGCCTCGGTGGTTCTCCGGCAGGTGGAGCCGCTGATCGTGCTGGAGCAGCTGGGCAGCTCCTTGTTCGACACCGCGCTGTCCATGGTGGTCAAGGACCGGGGCGCCAACGCCAGCTACCCGGACCGGTCCCGGGAGGAGAGCCAGCAGAAAGCCTTCACCGACTTCTACATGACCTACAACCTCATCATCCGCTTCGTCCCCATCCTGCCGGCGCTGCTGCTGGCGCGGCTCAGCGACCGCGGCTGGAGGAGAGCCGCGCTGGCGGTGCCTCTGAGCGGCTACCTGCTGTCCAGGATCGCGCTGCTGCTGCTGCTCGTCTTCCGGCTCCCGCTGGAGGTGATGTTCGGGGCGGCGGTCGTGTTCGGGCTGTCCGGAGGGTTCGGCGCCTACTGGCCCGGCGTGATGACTCTGGCGTCGCTTGGCTCCACCGCGGAGGACCGGTCCAAGGTGGGTCTGTCCGGGTCCGGTTCTGGTCTTAAATTTAAAAAAAAAGAAAAAGAAAAAAGTGAGCAACAAAGTCAGCTTAGTTGTAAAGTACTTTAAAAATAATGTTTTTTTTTGTTTGTTTGTTTTTGGAGAACTAAAAATGATTTATGTAAAAAAAAAAAAAAAGTAAATAAAATAAAAACATAAATAAATAAATAAATGTATGAATAAACAGATATAAGCAAATAATAATTAATAACAATAATTAATTACAAATAGTTAATAATTATTTAATAAAAAAATATTTATTATTATTATTTCTATTTTTTCATGCATCAGCTGTTTAGTTTTGAGGCTGTATTTTTATATTATTTGAACCACACATGTCTGCATATTTTATTTATTTATCAACATTTATGTTTTCAGTATTTCTTCTACATTTCTTATTTAATATCTCTGTATTTCTGCCATATTTCTACATATTTTCATTTATTATTCCTGTAGTTCTACATTTAAAAAAATAAAAAATAATCTATATCTTTCTATATACTTTCATTTATTATTCCTGTATTTCTACATTTTATTTTTTACTTTCTCTGTATTTCTACATACAGTATTTTTATTTATTACCTCTATATGTCTACA